GCAAACTAGGCCCTTTATAGCATTGTGTGGGGAGAGCAGGGGTGGGCCTGGCGTTTTCCTAGTCTTGCCCCTGCCCCAACCTGGACCTGGGGACATCAGCCCAGCAGGCTAAGTGGCTGGATCTCATGGGTCCCATCGAAGTTCACTGCCCTCCAGTCCCTGCTAAGGTCAACTGTCCAGATTGTTCCCTGGGCTGACCAAGTAGAAAGGTGAGTCCTGACAGGGCAGGACTGCAGGATCAGAATCTATGGGATATGAGCCCCTACCTGAGTACCTATGAGAATACCAGCTTCATCTGCAGCTGCTGCTATTGACTGTCTTCCTTCAAGGTTAAGCCCTGTCCTTTCCTTACAGGGCCTTGTTAGAATGCACCTCTCTCAAAGAGGTGAGCTTACTGCATTCCCTTTCCTTTAAAATCAGGAAAGAAGAGCCTGAAAAAGCTCTGGACAATGAGGAAGAGCAGAAGGAGGGTGGTGGTTCAATTCCCCCCACCCCCACCCCCAACCCCTTGAGAGGTCTGCCTTGCTGACAGGCTAGGGGTCAGAGGCAGCTCTGGATGGAAGCACCTCTTCATGGAAGAGCCCATGAGCTCCCTAGAAGGGGCTGAGTCTGAAGAAATGCCCTTACTGTACACACACCACACACTTGTATTCACCACCTCCCCATCGTGGACACACCTCTACAATGCATCCCCACAAATCCCACCCCACCCTTTACTCCTACCCTCCTCCACCATCCCCACCACACACAGAAGTCTAGAGTTAGCAAGGACCTTAAAAGTCTAGCTATTTTATAGACAAGAAGACTGAGGTAGAGAGAGGACAGGGCTAGTGGTCAAGCCAGTGGGAGCTCAGGTCTCCACGTAGCTCAGGCAGCTGTGTGACCTTGGGCCAATTACTTAACCTCTCTGAGCCTAGAGTCTTTGTTTGTGAAATGATAACACCTACATCAGGGAGCTTTTTTTTGAAGAGTCCTGTGGTATGAGCACTTTCCTTGCAAGCTATAAAGATGGTGAAATATGGTGGACAGTCAGAACTCTGGCCTTTTTCCTTCCTTTGCAAAAAGTTCATCTGCAAGTTACATTGGGAATACGTGTTGCAAATGTTTGTTTTTCCTGTTACGTTTTTTTAACTTTTTTATGGTACTGCTTATCATATAGAAGTTTGTGGTTTGAATGTAGTTAAATACATCCATCTTTTTCTTTAAGGTTTTGTTTTTTTGTCTTGCCAAAATTATAAGTGAGGAACATTTTATAAATGACAGATTTCCCCCACACAAATCACAGGAAAGGAAATATAAATAGATCTTTAAAACATGAAAAAATTCCACAAATTCTCTCATAATAAAAGAAATACTGAGATACCATTTTTACATTATCAGATTAGGAAAGATCCTAAAATTTGATAACACATTGGATTGGTGAAAACTGATGAGGAACAAGTTACTTACACTTTCCCGGTGAAGCATAAATTGGTACAACCCTTTTCAAGGGCAGTTTTGCTCTATTTGTAAAAATTAAAAATGTACATATCATTTGATCTAGCAATTCTACTTCTAGGAATTTATCCTCAGATATTACACATGTGTCAAATGACATATGTACATTATAGCCTTGTTTGTAACAGAAAAAGCACCTAAATATCTGCAACTGGAGAACTGGTAAAAATGTGTTTCATCCATTCTATGGGCTACTATATAGCTGTAATAAAGAAGAGGAGGCTTTTTAAGAACTAATGTAGAAAATATCTCTATACTGTTATGTGAAAAAAGCAAGGTGGTGCAGAACACTATGTATATGTTTAATATGCCACACTCTCTCACCACTAGAGGCAAGCAGATCTCCACATCATGGAAGAAGGGCCCATAGGTCATTGTGGTTGGGGAACTGGGACAGTGCTGCTTTATCCCAAGGTACCCTTTAAAATGTACAGCCAGTTGTTTGGTATCATACAGCAGGAGCTTAAGGGCCCAAATCCCAAAGTGGTGATCATGAGAGCCAAGCCTCCCAAAAGCCAAGAGGCTGGTGACATCTAGAAACAATCCAACATAGCCATCAGAAGCCTCATGTTATTTTGGCTCCTGTTAAGTCAAATGAGTGGGATAGCTTGAAAGTTGAGTGGGACCAGAATAACAACTGTAAGTTTTTGGATAGCCTTGTACAAACAACAGTCAAGAATTTCCTGCAAGAGTTTATCGTTAACACTAAAGAAAGACAAAATAAGTAAGGTTTACAAACTGGGTGACCCAGACTATGAAACACTACTAAAACCACAATTTAAGACTGGCTTATAATCAAGTGAATTTGTATAGTAAGGATCATGGCTGAGATATCCATATTCCTACCAAATCAATAGCTATTCTTGTTAATATTTTTACTTGTGATAATCTATGTCTTGCTAAAATATGTTATTTTGTTACTTTAATTAAAATTTATTCATTCCAAGCCAGCCGAGTGGCGCGATGGTTAAGAACTGGCTTGGGATGCCAGAGGGCCCCGGTTCGGATCCCACATATGAGAGCCAGTGACATTGCCCTCCAAAGCTAAGATGCTGAACAACAGCTCGACCTGGAGCTGGGCTGCTGTGAGCCGCCCGCGACGGCATAGGCTGCAGCCCCTTTGGCAGTGGGTTGCCATGGGCTACCGTATGTAGCCAGCAGCCAGCGTGAGCAGCCAGCAGCCGCAGTGAGCAGCCGTCCAGAAGCCAGCGACTGATGTGCCTCGTCCGGGAAGAGCGCAATGATGGTACCAACTTGGGCCAGTGAAGCAACGTCCTCCGCAACTAGACTGAAGAACAAAAGGACAGCAACTTG